GTTAATAACACTCTATTTATTGAGACGAAAGCTCAGTGTCTTCAGTACAGGAGAAACCAACTGTTATCGAGTCGTTCTTGTTTGTTTACTATTTTTTTGATCCAGGTTTCTGAACTTATTTCCAATCAGTGTTTAGCCCCAGGGCAATCTCCTGATTTTCCTTAGGTCCTGCTCTTGGTACCAATTCTGCTGTACTTTTTCTTCTTTTTCTTCACTTGTCTGCATTTTCATGATCATCTCTTGTAGAAATATAGAAGTGAAAGGCACACTCTTGGTCTGTGATTTCCTGCTCTTGCAGACCTTCAACCTTTGATAGTTAAAAAACCCCCAAATATTAATGGCAACTTTGTATGAATTTGTGCTTGTTCCAGAATTGTTCTTTTACTTGAATACTTTTTCTCTTTTTCCTTGGCACTTCTGTCTTGACACCTACACAGATCTTCCACTTAGTCTTTTGTTTGTTAAGCTAAACAGAGCAAATGTTTTCAGTTTCTTCTCAAAATTTCCCTGACCATTGTAGAAGCCTTTATATTGTGCAGTTTGGCTTCCTTTTTTAGGCATAAATGATCAGAAGAAGAGCTTCATGTTGTTGCATTAATGTTGATGTCTATGTACTAGAAATATCTTCCCTGATAATTTTACAGTTTCATTTCCATAGGGACATCATGTTGGTAGCTCATAATTACTGTGACCAGCTTTGTCCCCACAGTTTCATCCACTGTAATTTTCAACTGCTGAGCTCTCAATTCTTAGCAGAAACTTAATATAAGTTTGCATCTTTGCATTTTGCATTATTAAATTTTACCCCAGTTTTACTCTTGTGGTCCTAAAGGTAATCCATGTCTTCCTGGTGATGTTCCATTCCTTGTATATTAGCAGTGCTTTCCAATATCACATTTTTTTTTTTTGAACAAAGCCAAACTGTGAATTTTGGTGTCATTCATACTACTTATGCTCTGGTTGTAAATAAATATAGATAGTAAAATTGATCCCCCCAAATGTTGCTGAGGAATATAGAATCATAGAATGGTTTGGGTTGGAAGGGACCTTGAAGATCATCTAGTTCCAACCCCCCTGCCATGGGCAGGGACACCTCCCACTAGACCAGGTTGCTCAAAGCCCCATCCAGCCTGGTCTTTGAGCACTTCCAGGGATGAGGCATCCACAACTTCCCTGGGCAACCTGTTCCAGTGTCTCACCACCCTCAGAGTGAAAAATTTCTTCCTGATTAGATAATATATATCTCCCCTCTTCCAGTTTGAAGCCATTACCCCTCATCCTATCACTACATGTCTTTGTAAACAGTCCCTCTCCAGCTTTCTTGTAGGCGCCCTTTACGTATTGGAAGGCTGCTATAAGGTCTCCCTGGAGTCTTCTCTTCTCCAGGCTGAACAACCCCAGCTCTCTCAGCCTGTCCTCATAGGAGAGGGGGCCCTCCTCTGGACCCTCTCCAACAGGTCCATGTCCTTTTTGTGCTGAGGACTCCAGAGCTGGATGCAGTACTCCAGGTAGGGTCTCACGAGTGCTGAGTAGAGGGGTAGAATCACCTCCCTCAACCTGCTGGCCATGCTTCTTTCAATGCAGCCCAGGATGCAGTTGGCTTCCTGAGCTGCAGGAGCACATTGTGGGCTCATGTTGAGCTTCTCATCAACCAGCACCCCCAAGTCCTTCTTCTTAGGGCTGCTCTCAATCCATTCTCATCCCAGTCTGTATTTGTGCTTGGGATTGCCCTGGCCCACATGCAGGACCTTGCCCGTGGCCTTGCTGAACCTCATGAGGTTTGCATGAGCCCACCTCTTAAGCCTGTCCAGCTTACCACACCACACCACACCACACCACACCACACCACACCACACCACACCACACCACACCACACCACACCACACCACACCACTTGCTGATGGTGCGCTCAGTCCCGCTGTCCATGTTGCCAACAAAGATGTTAAACAGCACTGGCCCCTATACTGACCCCTGAGGAGTGCTGCTCATATATGTTAATATTGTTCTTCCAGCTATTTTGGTACAGCACTACATCATCTCATCTTACTTTTACAATCTGCAATACGTTTCGCTGATCTCAAATATTCTCTGTCATGATCATTAATACTAGCAAACATGACTTAAATTTAATTTAAATAGTTGAGTGACAGAGCTGGTCGTGTTTGCTCACGCACTGCTTCGGTCAGGTCTTTTTGATATGAAGCTGATTTGTGATAGATTCAAAGTGACTGTTATTTTACCTTGCATAATCCACAATCCACAGGAACTCTGAATTTGCTTTTTTATTTTTTTTAATTATTCTTTCTTTTTTCCTGTGAAGAAAAATGAAATAGAAGCAAACTATATTTGTGAGTAATGCTTTTGTATGATATAAAGTGATACCTGTTGATGTTCTAAATGAGTTACCAGATTTTTGCTTTGACATCTCTCAGAATAAATATCCATACTTTATAAAATGGTACTGTATGCATACCCTCTGTCTGTTTTCAACATTGCTAATTAAATGTTAAAATTTTCACTTTTGCAAAATAGTATTGTACTGCCATGAGGAAAAACATGGAATAACTTCTGGGAAAAAGATTCCACTAGCTGGGATAATATACAGTATTTCTTCATGCATATTTCTGAGTGCATTTATAATCTGTGCTGAGATCTTAACCTAAGTCAGGAAAATAGTATTCTGTCTTGTCTTTTGCTAGCTCTTGAATTCTTCAAATGTCCAGTTGGGGGAGAGATTATGTACTCGTTGTGAGCAGAAACTCTTAATTGATGTTTCTGACATCTGTGGTTACAGCTCTTTGCTTTGTGTTTTTCACGTTTTTAGTGGCAATCATCATGTAATACAAGATTTGCACAGAGAGAGCCTACATAATATTTATGAAAGTTGGCTTGGCAACATACATTTTTTTATTTGGTCACTTCTTACCACCTTGCTGGCCTCTGTATACTAGCTAGGTGGCTTGTGGGGACTTGGAAGTGGTTGCCGGCAACTCACAGATGCAATGTTGTTCTCCCTTATGTAGTTGTAAGTAGCTACTGATCAGAATATAGTATTGCAGAACTGAGTGTTTGCATAGGAGTAAATAACTTAATATTTAGTAATCCTGTATTACTGGGTTTTTTTAAGTTACCTTTGGAAATAAAAATATTACCTTGGGAGATATTCCCATTTCATACTGATATGGGGAAAGCTATTTTCCTCTTTTTACTGATGAATCACTCTTATCTATTTTTTTGAAGGGCCTTTTGCCGCCTTGTGTGTGTGTGTGTATTTATATCCTCTGCACATAGATTTAGTAGTATTTTCTTGGTTGAAAGTGAATTCATGAGTTACTCTGGAAAAACTTTAAAAGTAGCAGCTTTCAAGAACATTCACAATGTTCAAAGTGGCACCCTGACTGCCCACTGGCATCAACGGTAAAAAGACAGTGTTAGGTGGTTGGGTCTCAAGATTAACTCTCTTGGAGAATATGGAAAGCAGCATCAAGTCTGGCCTGATCTGGTTCCCTACTGCACTTTAAAGCGTCCTAAGGCTTCACTGACTAGCCTCTGCTGGGCTACTGAACATCTCACTGGACACCCTGTACAAATCTGTGATTAACTGTGAGTTCCCTTTCCCTGTACATGAAGCATCTTTATGTTGAGGCAGTTGCACACTGTATAAAGTCAATCAGTTATAAATTGATTTCACACGGTTTCCCTCTGTAAAGGGAAATACATGGTATTCATGGATGAGACCAGTTTGCTATTATCAGTGCCATAATGTGAATGACTATAAGCCAAACTTGATTACTCAAAGCAGCAATTACTACAACTGTATAATAATAATAATGTTAAACTAACAGAATAGGATCTGACTGAATTAATTTAGAACCGTTTACTTCTAGTTTCAGCTTCTGCTTATACTTCAAAGTAAAGAAGGACATCCAAATTAATTTAAATAACATGCAAGCTGTAGTTAAATTAGGGAAGATTTTTTCCTCCAAGCTTTATTTGTCTGTAAAATTCAACCGGTAGCAATGTATTTCAATACGTGTTGAGGGGATGTTCCTATGTGTTTAAGGATATGGACTGAGTGCCTTGATAGGACTTTCTCACTGTGTGAACATGAGTAATTTTTCTGTGGGTCTAGCATTCAGAGGGATTATTAAATGATAACTTTTTCCAGTTTGTTGGTGGCACTGTTTCATCTTAGTTCTGCGAAGCAATTTTTTTTTTTTTTTGGTTGCGTTAAGTTTGTTGCCATTATGATAGCAACAATAAATATAAATAGTGCTTTATAATAATCAATTTCACTTGTATCAAGTGTGTGTTTTATTAAAAAGTCCAGCTATTACTTTGTACTCATAATAATTTAAAAATTACTAAGGAGGATACTGTACATTTGTTAGCTTGAAAGGTCTCTCATATCTGAAAAAACCCATGCATGATTGTTTTGTTTGATATCAAAACACATTTTTGCTGTCATAATACTGGCACATTTTCAAGGCATGCTGTTTTCTGGCTGCTAGCAGGGAGTAATGGAAACAATGCAGTGATCATGCAATTTATTGAAAATAAACACTAAAAATACTTAGGCAAGCAATGTTTTTAATTTAATAGGGACTGGGATTCATAAGGTTGCATAAAATAGCTGTTTCTGTACCACAGGGGTATTTAAATGCCTTGCTGCCTATGAATTGTTTATAATTTCTTTCTGGTAATTTTCCTTTGGATCAGATTGTGATGCTTCTTCTGAATGGTGATAGTGCTTGTTGAGGAGTGGTCATGCACGCAAAATTTGATAACCTCGATATGTCACTTCATCTGCCGTTTTTCTTTTGTTAATGCAAAGCTGGTTGCATAATATCTAATTTCTCCTTTAGCTGACCACAGATGAAAACAAAATCTATAATGGCAGCGCTAGGTTTTATAAAAAACGCAAGTGAGGAATTGAAGGATGTGGCTTGTTCTGTTTGGATGATGCAGGATTGCTTTAAGCAGTAAGCTTACTGTTTTCAGATGGCATTAGCAGCATCAGTGATATAGCTGTGTCAGCCTCCTTGACTACTGGATGTCTGTAATCGCACGGAGGGAACTATATTTAAGATCTGATATCTTGAGGGTAATGACTCCAGCACTTACTGATGGACAGAATGGCTGTTAATGCTTTCTTCACTAGCCCAGAAGATTTTGAGAGATAGATGGGTCTGTGATGCACTTTCGTAAGGCAGGAAATGCAATTTTTGGGGGTCTCTGGAAATAGAAAGGTCATGCAGCTTGGAACCGGTGAGACATTACAGTCCCTAAGTCATCAGGTATGACCTCATAGTTTATACTAATATTTCTAACACAAGGGTTTGTTTTACAGTTTTAGGTCATTTACAATCTCTTTGTCTGTGTAATTGCTTCATGTTGGATTTGCTACAGGATTTATAGGGTAGACTGTTTACATAAGCAGAACAATGTATATCTTGGAAATCTAATGTGTTGTTGATTGCTATTCGAACAATGTAAGGTTATTCCATATTTTCAACCTGTTTTTTTTTGTGAATGTGATTTCTTTTAGCTAATTCATGCTAAAAGGTTATACCTTTGCTGTAAAGTAAAATGACAAGATTGTATTGCATTTTTATTTTGCTTTATCTTTACATGGCACACAAAGCTATTGTGTGAATATGTTTGTCATATGAAATGCAGTATAAGGCAGCTGTTTACCTACAGTGGCAGGTTATTTAAAACAACGTACCACATTGTGTAACAGGACTGAGCTATTCTGCAGGCACAGATCTTGCTTCGTTTTGCAGTAGTAGATTTTTTTTGCTTCATTTCAAATCAGTTTTAAAAATAGCTCACTGAACATAACAGTGAAAGTTTGGCAAGATAACTCTCCCCTTTTTAATCATTACACTCGGTGACACATATTAATACTAATGGGTTGTAGAAGAGAAGATTAATAACTTAAATATTTAGAATGTTGTTTAAAACCAAATTCATTTTACTGAAGCATGTCTCATCCTTTTTGATTTTAACTGTTGCCAACTTTATTGCAAAGCTGATACTTTTGTATCTGCTAATGTATTGTGGTGATGGATAGGAAAGTCAGAGTACATAAAAGAAAAAAGTATATTGGTATTTCACACAGGAAGATAGTGGCCTAATTTCATGTATGGAATTGGAGATACTGTTATCACTTCAGGTGTTATAAATGCTAGATAATAGCTATTGTTTCCCTTGAATACAGTATAGAGCAATTATATTTGAAATTGTAAGAGAAGTTTATTTTTAAAAATGATATTCAGCTCCATCTTAAGAAATCCTAGATGTATTTGCAGAACATTTCCATGGCAACGTGTTTGGCCATGTGTTTTAAAAGCTCAGCTGAAGCCTGAAAGTAGTGTGCAATTTTTCTGTCTCTTGCTTTACCCTTGTGAAACAACAATTTTCACATATAATTGGTCTGCAGATTGCCAGGGGTGAGCAGTATTTCCTGACTCCAAAGCACAGGATTAAGTGATCAAGATTTAAAAATATTTTCGTATTTCCACCTAGAAATGTAAACATGGAATTGATTTTGCATTTAGAACTGTATTCTGGTTTCACTCCCATTTAATAACGTTTTGTTGGAAACGTGTGTGTGTGGGAGACCACAGAAGACCAAACTTAAGAATGTGCAGCAAATTGCTGTAGTAAAAATGGCTGTCTTTTCATTTTTAATTAAAAACATATTTGTAAAAAATGTTTTATTACTTTTACTGGCCATAATTTATAGTTTCCCAGTCTACTTATCCAGCTTACGTTCTTATTAATAATGGGGAAAGACTGCCCTGCTCTTAAGCTTGATTAGGTTTGGAATGATTTAACTATATCTTTCACTTGCTACAAGATCTTTTTAATCTGTTAGAATTTATTTTCAGTATTTTAATGTATTAGTCACAATGAGTACATTCTGTTTCTTGGCATTGGAATGAAATTCCTGAAAGTATTGGTTTCATGGTATTTTGGTGCTTTGCAGGGTATTTATGGACTTTTTAATAGGACCAACCCTCCCCTCAGCTTCTTTGTTTTCCTTATTCAAGTATAATTTAAAATCTTGACTTGCCTGTATTTTGAAGTTGTTGCTGAACTCTCCTTTGCTCATTTAAAATAATTAGATCTCCATGGAATTTTGCATAACTAGAAGCTGTAGCAGTGTGCCATGTGCTGCTTATCCTGGACTCTGTTTCATCACTTGTATTAATTCTGCAAACTGCATTCTGTGGATGTTTTTGAAATGTAGCATTGATGATAATCTACAAATACTGCAGTAGACATCCATTGTGGCCTCGTTAGGATAGAAACAGTATCTACAGAGGAAAATAAATTGATGAATGCTTCCTTGAGGAAGTGTATGTTAAGGTCATTCCATTTTGAAACAATGGTATTACTGACTATAGCAAGTGAGTTTGAATATCTTTTTTCACTTAAAGGACTTAGTAGTCCCATTATAGGTCCTTTTTCATTTGGAGGGACTAGAGAATAATAACCCAAAGGAATATATTATGGAAGTGAAGTTCTTTTGCAAGAGAAGAAATTGCAGCAAGGTAGAGATACACACATGAGAGCAGGGACTGAAGTGATCTGAAAACTTAAAACTATGAACTATTTTGCTTGTTTAATACCCCCTGCCACCCAAAAAAAAAGGTTTAAAATATACTTGCTGATATTTGGAGATATTGCACAAATTTGGAGTGATTGAATCCTGTGGCAGTGTGTTGGTATCAACTTAACAAGAAAGGGGATTTTATGCCTTCTTTAAAACTATACCATCCGTCTTCAAACCAAGTTGATTGCAACTGTCAGTTTTTGAAGAATGCTGTGTAAAGAAGCATCTCTCTCACTTAAAAAATTCTTTCCCCTTGACTGTGCATAACGAATACACATCCATGAGTATGTTTCCCTATTTTTAAACATTCCTATTTGCAGAACTTGATGATAAAGATCTTATAAAGAAAAAAAAGCTCTGTATGGATGTTATAGGAACAGTGTTAAGTAGCACATTGGGCAAGAAGCCCAATATTTATGTCATTTGCCAATTCTAAACATGAATGCTCACACTCATGCACATACTTAGTTGTGTATTACTGTGTTTTACTCGTTACTGATTGCTGTTCTGATTCTACAGTACGAACTTTTCTCATATGTTATAGTGCCAGCTTTTAAGGAAATGGCAACACTGGGACAAATAGGAGATCATGGCCGAACATTCACAAATGGCAATACAATATTAGAAGCAAAAAGTACTTTCAGAGTGAGTTGAAGGAATTCAAGTCCTTTTGTCCTACATTAGTCTCCCTCCCAAGAGGTGATCCTATTCTCTGGTTGGATTCTCCTCTTTTAGTACGTTATTTCATGTACTAACTCATCGGGCCTAATGACCTGAATTAGGGAAGGCTTAGCATAAGCATGTCGGAAAGGTCTAAAAGATAAAGTAACATAGCATAAAAATGTAACAGTCAGCTGCAAGGTCACAAAATATATAGCTAACTGAGTAGTATTCCAAGAGCACTCTATTCCATTTAGTGGAATATCACCACCTGATCGTTAAAACTATTTGAAGGAGTTTTGTAGGAATGCAATATGAAAATGCAAATAAATCACAACAATAACGCCACAGTAATCAGTTAGAAAAACTTAAAATAGAGTCATAGTTGGTCCCAACCAATTCCTGTAGAAGTGGGACCACCTAAGAGGGAGTAGTAAGGAAGGTGGCTATATTAATTCAGTAAAGGAGAATGGTTATGCATTACTTAGAATGGCATTTTGGAGAGAAGCAGCAATCCCAACTAAGGTTCATTCTCTCTCTCTCTCCTCCTCTCTCTCTTGTAATGAGCCTCATAAATAATATGAGTTGTTCATATTGTTTCTTGTTTCCTTGCAAGGCTATATGTATTTTGCCTTACTTAAGTTTTCAGTAAAAGTTATAAATAAAACAAACATTAGCATTAGTACTGTTACACTACTGTGATCAGGGTCTTTGGTCTCATGGTAACTTCTTTCTGCAGAAGCTATGTATAAGTAGAAGCTGATCCATAAGGCTGGTAAATTCCAATAGATGGCTTAATTAGTAAAATCAGTATGAACTGTGGAGTAAGCTACATAATGCTTTCCAGTGTGCCATACAGATTTCAGTGTGGCCCTAAAAGGGAGAACATCGCTTTCCTGAACCATTTAAAAAATGTAAATACCAGTAAGAGATTACAAGATGTGACTGATGATAAGGTGGGGAAATACTGCTATTCCTATTTATTAAGGGAATCAAGTTTTTTCTTATGTTTAAGTGATACTTCTCATACTTTAATTTGTGCCCATTTCTTCTTGCCCTGTCACCACTGAGAAGAGTCTGGCTAAGCCTTTGCTACTTTCCCCAATCAGGTATTTGTACTCCCTGATAAGACCCCTCTGAGCCTTCTCTTCTCCAGGCTGAAACAGTCCCAGTGCTCTCAGCCTCTCCTTCTGTGACCTTTGTGGCCCTTTACTGGATTTACTCCAGTATGTCCATGTCTCCCTTGTAAGAAGGGAGCCCAGAACTGGACAGAGCGCTCTAGTTATGTCTCAACAGGGCTGAGTAGAAGGGCAGAATTGTATTATCTGGGAAGGAAATTCAGATTCTCTGTTAACTAGTCAAAAAAAGATGGGAAACTTTGGACAGAAATCTCAGAAAAATGAGGACTGAATGCACTGAAAATTATAAATAGTAATGTTTGTTGGTAATCTTATGGAGAAGAAAAGCTTTGAAAATAGCTTTGATTAAGTCATAAGAGTTGTTTTAGTCATGAAACCTCCTGTTTTGGGATGTCTTACATGGAATCTGTGTCCCCTAATCCCATTGATGTAAGCAGAGAATAACTCCTGTAGGGAAAGGTTAAGCTTTAATATTTTCAGCTAAACAAATTTTAAAGTAACTGAATAAAAAGGTATCATCTAGTATGGTATTACTAATTAAAAAAAAAAAAAAAGTAAACTATGGGGAATGTGTACTCCAGGGATTCAGAAGTTGTGGTTTTAGTTAGCTTGCCAAAAATGATTCGTTAATTTCTGGTGGAAACTCAGAGCTTGCACAGAGCTCTCAAATGTTCTTAACTGATGCTGCAACAATCAACTGATACAATATATTCCACTTGGTGCATTGAATAAAAATGTAAAACAAGCATTAAGTGACATAGCGTTGAGGTATTGTAAAATTTTGCTCATTTTTATAATAGCTTCCCCCTTTTCCTCCAGGCTGCTTAAATAAAGCAAAAATGTATATGGGAGCCTTCAGTGATTCAAGATTCGT